TCTATCTATCTATCTATCTATCTATCTATCTATCTATCTATCTACATTCTATATTTATATAGAATTATAATATCTGTATTTCTATATAGAAATATATATATTATATATATTCTATATTAACTAAACAAACAACCAAAAGTGATAGACTAGATAGCATGCTGAAAGGTAATTATTTTTTTCTTTTGTGCTGTTGCCTTGATGCTTAGTTTATTAGAATGAACAACTTGTTTCTAGCAGCCTTGCATTGCTGCTTGTAAAAACTGGGTGCCAGACCTGTGGGGTAATTAATCTCAGGGTAGTATGTACAATTAAACCAAGCACTTACAATTGCTTTTCAAGCAATATATTCTCTTATTTTTCTCATCAACAGTAAGTCTCCTGAGGTAATTGTATGTGTTAGATAACAAGGGAATAAATAAATGAGGCAATATTTAAATGTTCTGGCTTTACTATTATCTTTAAAGAATGCACAACAATTCAGAAGTGCTTTATAAGCAAAATGTTCAGAATTGCAGCTTATTTCAGTGTGTAGTCGACTGTCCCATTTTAACATCTAGCCTGTGTAATTGAAAGTTACACTTTGAAAGTTATTATTGTTTTGTTCTCTTACTGTTGATACAAAACGCTTTGATTATTCAAGCAATGTTATACATGAGCATTTTTCTTTTCAGTTTATGAGTTGCCATGAGCTTTCAGAGTTATGCACATTAAAAAATAATGTCCAACATGATTAAAACAGTCAATTTTAGCATGATTAAAAGTAGCAGAAAAATACAATGTGCAAAAGTGAAGAATAACAGTGTGAAGCTTAATTTCCAAAGATATAAAACAGATCTACCTATAAAGAACATAGTAAGGGTGTGTGTGGGGGGCCAAATAGTTATACCCAGCCCTAATTAGTGTAACAGGTAGTCTTTGGTTAATGGCCATTCATTCAGCGACTGTTTGAAGTTACGACTGCACTGAACAAGTGGTACTTACCATCAGTCCTTGAAGTTCCGGCTGACCCAGCACCCCTGCGGTCATAAGATTGCAATCTGAGCACTTGGCAACTGGCTTGCACTTATGACGGTTGCAGCATCCACGGTCACATGATCACCATTTGTGAACTTCCCTGCCAGCTTCCCGCAAGCAAAGTCAATGGGGAAGCTGGTAGGGAAGATCGAAAGTCACTCTGGTAAGTCTCCTGCACCTGGTAGCAGCCACCCCAAGCCCACTGCGCTTACACTGCACTGGCCCCTCCTGCGTCGTCCTGTACCTGGCAGCAGCCACCCCAAGGCCTGCCACTCTCATGCCTCACTGGCCACCACACACTCCCACGCACCTTTCCCCACATAGCAGCTGCTTACCTGCCTGCCGGGCTACTTGCAAGCCGCCTGGGACTTGCAACTTCCTGCTGGCTTCCCTACTGTCTTTGGTTGTTGGAAGCTGTCAGAATGTTGCAAGGAGGTCCTCGCTTAATGACCTGTGAACCTCGCTTAACAACTTCAACCGGGACTGCAGGGAATGTCATCACTAAGCAATGCAGTCACCCGATGTCGCACTTTACAACCACATCACTTAGTGATGGAGATTCTGGTCCCAATAACCATAGTTAACTGAGGACTATCTGTACTGTCACAGTGTTTTGTACTACAGAAGTATCTGGACTGTCTTCAGGAGCAGCATTGCATACGACTAATGCAGGAAATTATTTATTTGCATGATATTGCTGCTCCAAATCAGTAAAATGGGATGTTTTCTGACACTGCATGGTTTATGGCTGATGTTTTCTATGTGAAATAAATTAGTGGATACTTTTCCCCACAAAAGGTACCTGTGCTAGGGTACCCATGAATAGTATTGTTTATGATGTTTTTAAAATATTGTTATTCATAACTCAGAAAAAGATATAGTGTTTAGATATTGAAATAGTAATTAAAGCCCATTCATTACTATACATCATAATTGTCTGATTTTGCCTTGTGTGAATTGTATGCCCGCTCTAGTGGTCCCTTGAATCCCTGAGATATGAGCTGTCCTTTGCTGCAGATCAAGCAGGGATGATCTGAGATATTGATACACGCTCAGTCTACTTGAAAATGAATAGAAAACTGAAATGAAATTGAATGAATTGAAAATGAATGAATAGAAAATAAACATTCATTTAAGTGAGGATAAGACTGTACCCTCTCCTTTCCCAATTCATACTTAGATAGAGTGCCTGTGAATAGAACTCTACTGGCTATTACATTAGTATTGTCTTTATGCAAAAATATCTGTTGAAGAAGTAAAAAATAATAAAGAATTCCTCAGTTGAAACCCAGTTCCTTAAAAAGATAAAGATACATCCATGCAGTTTCCTTGGCAACAGTTTGGAAGTGGTTTGCCATTACTGTACTACTACTACTACAGTAGTCCCCGGGTTAAGAATACCTTAATTAAGAATGGAGCCTATTGTAGCAAAATTTGAGTTAAATACTACCTTTTAACTTCTTGTTAAGTATTCTGCTCTGATATTTCTGTATGATCTCTCACTGAGTACTACCTAGGTCTGACTTCGCTTAATCTCCTACTTGTGGGCTTCCTAGATGCATTTATGCCCATGTGAAATGGAATGCTGGCTAGATGGGACTAAAATCAGGGCTATTCTCATTTTCTCAAAGTCAGCTAGATGCTGTCGCCAGAACTGGCTCTGGAGTGAAGAACAAAGTTTAAAACTGCAAGTAATTGTAACAAAGAAAATGACATTAAAATCCAATAAAGACATAAACAGCTAACATAATATAGAGCAAAGATAGGAAATCTTTTGGTGGCCAAAGGCCACATTTAACATTTTTTGGCAGGTTGAGAGCCACAATGAGCAAGGTAATGAAGAATGGATCGAGACGTGTCATGTATGTGATTGGAGCCAAGATGTTATATATTTTTTTCTGTCTGTCTTTTGTTTTTTATGTATTTCTAGGGAAAGTGTGGATGTTTTAAAATTTGTCTTTTTAAATGAGCTCACTGCAACGAGCCAAAATTTTACTTTGGTTAGAAACTCAAGTGTCTTTGTCTAGTAGTCAGAGACAAATCCTTAGCTGATACAATATATTTTA